GCCACTGCCCTCCAGCCTGGGCGACAGAGTGAGACTCCAACTCAAAAAAAAAAAAAAATCCTGTTTGAGGATCAAGTGGACTGATAGTTTGTGACCTCTGGGGATAAAAAAGGTCATTTTTGAATCACAGAGTACTTCATTCCCTTTAAATGGCACCCAGAAGCCCTTGGAACTTTGGAAATGATTATCTAAAGTTGTAATATGCAGTCAAGCATGATGACTTGTGTGTAATCCCAGCACTTTGGGAGACCAAGATAGGAGGATCACTTGAGGCCAGGAGTTCAAGAACAGCCTGGGCAATATAGGGAGACCCCATCTCTAAAACAAAGCAAAACAACAACAGCGTAATATTCATGCAGACTCTGGCACTAAAACCCAATTGGGTAAGAGCAGGGTTTTATAGCCCTTATCCAAACTACCTAATTTTACTTTACCAAAAAAAATTTGTAGAGACAGGGTCTTGCTATGTCGTCCAGGCTGGACTCTAACTACTGGCCTCAAGCAATCTTCCCGCACTGGCCTCCCAAAGTGTTGGGATTGCATGTGTGAGCCACTGTGCCTAGCCCCAAATACTCTAAATGTTAGACAATGCATCACGCACTCAAAGGCCAGAGACTGTATTGGGGTCTTTTATTTCAGATGTGAGTCACATTCCATTGAGACCCCTAGGGGTGGCTCTCTCCCACTAGGTCCCCTCCCTGCTTTTCCCACTAGTGTGTACTGCCCACGTGGCTGCACTCACCATCAGCACTTGCCTTCCTGCTTACACTTCTTTTCTCTTTTTCTCCACCCTCCTCACATCCGGGTATTCCAAGCGCCCCTCTTTCCTTGTGCTGTAATTATTCCAGGCTGATTTCTTCAACTGTCTACCACCCTGCCTGATGGGAACCCAAGCCTTGTGTAATGCAGTTCTTTACATATTCCAAAGATGGCACCTGGAGGTCCAGCAGGAGAAGACACTTGTTTACTTAAGAAGGCACCTATGGTGGCGGGTTGGTGAGGAAAGGTTCTGTCCACGAGGCACCAATGACAGCAGATTGGGGCAGTATGGCAAACAGTTTTATAGGCAAGCAAGTCAATTAATCAGATATAGGGAGAACGAGGCAATGTCCAAACAATGGCCTCACACCTTAGCATCCTCAAGAATAAAGAAGGGGGGAAAAGAAACAGAAAAAAGTCTTCCTGATTGTCTATCTAGAACCTTCCAGGCTGCCCAGAGTGACAATGCTATGGGCATCTTCTTATGTCTCCCGATTTGGTGAATGCCAGACCCTGGAGGTAGAAAAGTAAAGAGAACAACCCACTGGGACTGGCCAGCAACAGCTGCAGTCCCCACTGCTTGCTCATACCTACAGCTTCATATTCTGTGTCCTCTGGAACCAGACATGGCTGGCTCCAGTTTGACTCGTGTTCCTCCGTGTCCTCCATGTAATATTTCCACACCCTATCATTTTTGCATGGAGCCCAGGTAAGTCCGTCAGTTTGCCCTTTCTCATCTTGTCATTTATAAACTGGTGCTGAGAAGTCTTTTTCCCAAAGTAGGATTTTAGGAATACTTTAATTGTCCTCCATCATTTGTTTTGGGCAGCGATTCTCTTCCTGGACTGTACATTAGAGGTACCTGAAGAGTTTTCTAAAAATACTGACGCCGGATCTCACACCATACTAATTAAATTGTCATCTCTGAGGGTGGAGCTTGGTCTGGCTTTTTGTTTCTTTGCTTTTTAGCTGTCTGGAGTAATTATAATTTGTAGCTAGTGCTGAGGATTGCTGATATAATTATATACATATCACTTATTTGGCAATCATTGGCTGAGTTCCCAGCCATTATAATAGTCACTGGTGATCCCACAGTGAATCCAGCCCCGGTCCTGTCTTCATGGGCCTTGCAATCTAGTGGGAGAGTCGAACAGAAGTGTACATAAATAATTAAGTGATTGCAGATCGCAATAATTGCTAGAAGGGTGATAAATGGGTTGATATAATAGAGAATAGTAGCAGGGATCTGGCTTTGATATGGTGGTCAGAGAAGGCTGAGTTCTAGAGATGAGAAGGAGCTGAACTTCCCAAGTAGAGGAGGAAGCACACCAGAAGTCTCTGGGGAAAGAGGTCCGCTTGTTGTAGGAACCAACAGAAGGTCAGTGTGGCTTGGGGGTCGTCAGTGTGGCTTGGGGGGAGGCATAAAAAAAAAAGGTGTTAGAGAGATCAGTTGGTGCCAGTGAATGTTGGATCTTGAAGGCCACAGTAAGTCTTTTAAAATTGATTCTAATTGCAATGAAAAACTTTTGAAAGATTTTTAAAAGATGTCTGAAAGCTGATCTACCTCTTTAAGAAATGTCTGGTGAAAGACAATGCTACTGCATTGGAGATGGAGAAAGATGAATGGATTCTAAAAGTGTTCTGAAAGTAGGTCCAAAATGTGTTGCAGGTAGCTTATGTAACTGATAAATATTGGCAGCATTATGGATCAGATGAGGGGAGGCTCACAATTTAGGAACTTGTCACTGGAAATCAAGTGTTCTCTTTGGGGCAGGTCAAGGCTGAGATGTTATGAGATGTCCAAGTAGAGATGTCAAGGAAACCAGCAGTCTCCAGCTTTTTTGGCATCAGGGACCAGTTCCAGGAAGACAACTTTTCCAGGGACTGGAGATTTGGGGGATGTACAGTTAAACCTCACTACTAATGTTAATCTATATTTGCAGCCGCTCCCCAGTGCTAGCATCACCACCTCAGCTCCACCTCAGATCATCAGGTATTCGATTCTCATAAGGAGCATGCAACCTAGATCCCTGGCATGTGCAGTTCACAATAGGGTTTGGTGCTCCTATGAGAACTAATGCCGCTGCTGATCTGACAAGAGACAGAGCTCAGGGGATAATGTGAGTGACCCGAGTGGGTGACCTGAAACTACAAATAAAACTTCACTTGCTCGCCCGCTGCTCACCTCCTGCTGTGTGGCCCAATTCCTAACAGGCCACGGACCAGTCTGGTCTGTGACCCATGGGGTTGGGGACCCCTGAAGTAGACAGTTGGATATATGAGTCTGGAGCTCAGAAAACAGATCTAGAAGAAAGACATAAATTTAGGCATTGTCAGGATATAGAAATTATGTAAAGCAATTAAAATGAATGAGATCATCCAGGGAGAGAATGCACGCAGAGAAAAATTGGCCTCAGACCACTCTCTGAAGAACATCATCAGTTAATTCTGGGGTTGAGGAAGAGGAGAAGCCAGTAGAGGACACTGAGTAAGGGTGTCCAAAGAAAAAGAGGAAGAAGGAAAACTGGAAGATTATTGGTGTCCCAGAAATTGCAAAAGGGGAGTGTTTCAAGAGTGAACAGTGAGCTCTGTAAAAAGATGACCACATGTAAGAGTGAAGGGAGGGGCAGTGGAAGGGAGAAGGGGGAAAAAAGGGTGAAAAAACTTCCCTCAAGATGTATAATACAATGAGAGAGAGAGAGAGAGAGAGAGAGAGAGAGAGAGAGAGAGAGAAGGATGCATTCAAATTAGGGAGGTGGGAAAAGAGAGGAAACCAAAAAAAAAGGGAACTGAGGATAGAAGCAACTAGATAGACCCATAGTCTCAAACTGCAGCACTGATATTTGAGTGTATCTTTTATATATTTCATTCTGGAAGCTTCCCAATTGATGGTAGAGCCTTACCCAGATCTGCATGTAAAAGAGAGTAGGCCTGGCGGTGGACTTGACATGGATCGATGGTAGAACATCCTAGTAGCTCAGCGAATACTCTCCAAGGATAATGTGAACTATATTGGCTCAGGGCTTTGGGGGTGATGAGAACCATGAAAATGCAGACTCATTGCAAATAGTATTTATTGCAGTTTGCAATAATTTTAATGATTCTCATACATATAGCTTCTCTGAGTGCAGCATCATCACGTTATGCCTTCTCTTACATATAACATCATGCGGCGAGTCATGCCAAGCAAGGCCTACAAACAAAAGGTCTGCCTTTCTTTAAAAAACGGGCTGCTCCTAGTATTTGCCTAATTCATTATGATAATTACAACCATGGCATGAAACATAAATAAGCACATTCATACATGAAGCACAAAGACAGGAAAATAAAGAACAGTGCAAAAATAGAAGAATGCTTACGTTGTATATCAGTTTCAGTATTACTAATACACTGGCCTCTGTAATATATCTATGTCTACAATAATATGTCATATTATTTTGCAATTGGTGGTGAAAAAATAATCTGCATCTTGTTTCCACTTCAATCCTTATGGAGGAGCTGTGGTTCAGCAGTCTGAGAAAGACACATAGGGATGTCCATTTGTTAAAGCTACAGGGCCTGTGGAAGGTTAAAGGGCTGGAGGTAGGAAAATCCAGTAATGAAAATATTCTACAAGTTTCTCAGCACAGATCTTAGAAAAGAGGCCACAGAAGGAAAGAGAAGTAATGTTGGACAGCCCACAATGGCCCTGGACAAGGAATTTCATTTGTATGTACAGGGCAGTGACTGAAGGGGCAGCGTGTTGCAAGAAGACTGTGTTCCAGGTCACTTGCTCATGTCAAGGATGTGGCAGGGGACAGTGTTTAATGTACTTCGCACAGGACCCAGCCACGACCTTGGACAGGCAGCTGCTCAGTCTTTTCCTATCACAGTTGCAGAGACTTCCTGCCCTACTCAATGTAAGCTTTCCCTTCTGTTTCATTGAGTCAAAGCCCAAGTTCTTGCTGTGACCTCCAAAGTACCACTTGATGTAACCACTTCAGAAGCACACATAGAAAGCTCGCTCTTAAAATCCTTTGCCTTCCCCTCTTCTCTTCACTCAAACCACCTGGTTCCTTTGCACTCACTGTCCTTCAACCTGAAATCCACTTCCCCCCAGACAGCCACCTTCTCTCTCCCTTACTTCTCTCAAGATGCACTTAAATGTTATCTTCCTATGAAGCCGCCCCTGGGGCATCCCTCCCCAGCCTGCTCCTCCCTCTTACATGCTTTATTTTATTCTTCTTAGTATACATCGCACTCTGATAAACCACAGAATGTACTTATCTTGTTACTGCCTCTCTCTCTGTATTGTCTCCATCGCTGAGAGCTCTGTGAAGAAAGGGATTTTTATCTATTTTGTTCAGTACTGTATCCCCAGTGCCCAGAACAGTGCAGAAAACACCCAATACATAGTTGTTGAAAAAATAGATAAATAAAACAGAAGCAGCTCTACATATTTCCCAGTAACAAATTACATTCTTGTTTTCTGAAAATTAATTCAAGTTAGATAAACATTGTATTTTTAGACCGTTTCGTCTTTGCACTAATCACCCCACTCAAAAACATGACATATGTAAAACTGAGGTTAGGTGTGGGCTCTTCAACGCTCCATTACAGAAGACCAAGAGAAAAAGCTAAACCCAGTGGTGTTATTCCTTTACCTTACATCTATCCTTTGGAAATACATGACCAAATTGCTTACCATCACAATCTCAAAATCTACTCTTAGGTATTGACTTGCTTAACTTGTCCCTCTGCCCCCACTCTAAATGGTAGCCCTTGGTTTCTGAAGCAGCGTAGAGTAAGAACAACTTGTAATTGGGGAAGAAATCATTGCTGGTGACCTCATCTTCAATTACTGACTTTCTAGTGACATTGCATAATTTCACAGAGAATTAGCACTGACACCTGCAAAGTTGTGGCTCTCCCA